AAAAAAAAAAAAAAAAAAAAAGGTGCCACCGTTCCGTTACTAGGCTTGTCCAAGGAATAGGTGTCATCAGAGCGTCAATCCAAAGTTGACATTGTTCCCCTTCCAGGAATTAGTTGAATCTCATCAAAGCCCCTGAAGCTGATTTTAACAACTAGGATGGCCCCATAATCAATAGTCACCTCTTTGCGGGGGGGCTTCCAGATTTGAGACTATTTGCCCAGTTCTTGTACTCTTGGTGCTGGGTTGACATCAGAATGGCCCTAAGTAGGATACAGAGAACAAGGAAGAGAAAACAGGTTTTTCATACTGTGTACATTTCCCTGTGCGATCATTACCCTTGGAATTTAAGATTGTCTCTGTGGAAGTTTTTGGTGAAAGATACGGTCATTTACCCCAAATCTGAAGAGAACATAGAGGGGTTTTTTTTTTTTCCTTTCTTTTTGGTTTGGGTTTGCCCTAGATCTTCTGTAAGCTGTAAAATATATACCCTTGATAGTACGAGCACATCAAAATATATGCCCTTTGATGTATTTCGTGTGCATGCGTCAGAAAAATATTGTTGCCTGGAAATCTGGCCCTCAAGATTCTGATTGAATAGATCTAAGATTGGGCTTTGTCATTCAGATATTTAGCAATTCCTATAGGTGATTCTCTTGTGCAGTCAGGTTTGTGGGCTGCTTTCAAGGAGTGATCTTTTCTGTTTCTGTACTTTTCACCTGTGACTCTTAAAGTATAAGGGATCACTCCTTAATCTAATCATGTGTACTAAAACAAGTATTTAATTATTTATGTTGCTTATAGGCTGATTTTGCATATAGGCTGATTTTAAATATAGAAAGATAAAACAAATTGAAGTGTAAAGTATGGGAATAGACTTGCTGAGTTTAAAAGAATCTGACAGGGTTCTGTATAATGCTCTGTTCTTGCTGTGGGCATTACTAATCAATAAGGAGGCAAGCAAAAGACATTAAGAGGAGTTTGTTAAAGCATAAAAAGTAGAGTCTTTGCCTGGAACTACTTATTTTTCCTTTCTTTTGCAGCAGGGACCCAGCTCTGTAACCTGTAACTCACTCTACCTCTACTGTAGGCCCGTGTAGACCCTTTGCCGTGCTTTAAAGCTGCTTCATTTGCTTTGAGGCACATTCTGATGGCGACAGGTTTATTTTAGTTCATTTTCCTGGGTGTTATTTTGTTCTCTGGCTGAATCCTTGAATTTGAGATCTTAGAGTAGTATGAATAGGCAAATATTGAATAGCTGCTTGTTTTATTTGATGACCACAGAATCCAAACGAGTACTGCTAATTAATGCGCCTAACCTTCCTAACTCTCACTTTGTGCTCTGAGATTCAGGAGTCATTTATCAGTGTGAAACATAGGCCATTGAGCAGCCTAAGCTGGGCAGAGACCAAATTTCTGATCTTTACATCTCTCCCCAGCGTGGTTTGGCTCAGCAAATCCAGGAGCTGGGAAGTGGGGTGAAGGTGAATTTTAATTGTGTGTTATTATTTGCAGTTTTAAAGTCTTTTACTTCCTTTCTAAATAGATAGGAGCCATCCCCAGGCAGGAGTTTTATAAGCATCTACTAGTGATTTTAAAGATATAAAAATTGCAGTTTTTTGATTGGTGCAGAGCATTTTCATCAACATTGTCTCATCTCATCCTCATAACCACCTTTTGAAGTAGATAAAACAAATATTCCCTTTGGAAAGATGAGGAAACTGAGGCACAGAGAGATTAAAATGATTTACCCAAGGTAACAATGCAAGTTAGTAGCTGAGTAAGAACTAAAATTTGTCTTCTGTTGAGGGCCTTTTCCTCTACACTGGGGTTTGTCGATTCATCCAAGGAGAAATAGTTACATGCATGTGTGCCTGCTCACTCAGTAGTACTTTATTTACCATTTGGGGGCTTCATAGACCCTTTGAAGCTCAACTATAGATCTCTAGGAGTCCATGACCGTTGGTTAAAGATTATTACAACCAAGTTCCCTAGCAGGAAGTGGGCGGACATTTCACTGTTTTAATGACCCTTTTCATCTGTTATAAAGTCCTGGCAACACACTTGAATTAAAAACCTGTGAAGGAAAGGAGGGGAAAGAAGTACCTGCGATGTTGCAGAGGTTTTGCTTTTTTATGCATGGTCACCTTAGTCTTCTTTCCCAATCAGTTAACAGGCTTAATGGGATGGCAGTCCATTGCTTTTATACAGCACTTCAAGTACTTTACTGTGCTTGCTAATGTGTTCTCTTTATGGAAATGGAGGAGACAAACATTGTTTCAGACTTACAGGGGTGAAAATCAGCTCAGAAGGCTGATTGTTTTATCTGAGGCTCTGCAGAATTTTCTGTTGATGATATGGTGCAGTGGTTTAAATTCCTAGTTGACTGTTTCTTTGTGATTGATGTGTGTGTGCATGTGTGTACATGAGTTCTCAAGTGTTTACTAAGGCTGGAATATTTTGTGGGTTTGTAATATGTTTTAAATGAGAGAGTATTTGTGTGCATTAGCTCCAGAGATTTTATATAGGGGGGTCTATATAGGAGGAGCAGCAATCTGACTAGGCTTAGTTCTGCATAGCAAGCTTACTGTTATTTGCTAACATTGTTTGTTTATTTGTGATGGCTTTTAGGGAGCTCCTGGAACATACAGTGGGAATCCTAAGGTCAGCCCCTTGTCACCTTTTGGTGCTACAACTTTATGTCTGATATAATTAGGGTGACCTTAACATTTATTATTCAAGTTGGGGCACTTTTGAGAGTGGAAAGGCATGCTAATGTTGAAATAGTCCTAGGCAAACCTGGATGAATGGGATGTATGGTCACTCTAGCTATAAAGAAAGAAATATAGTGAACTCTGAAGTAAAGTAATTGGATTTAGGATTATGACACAGTGCCTAACACTGTGGGAATGCAACATTGCTATTCACATTTGGGGTGAGAGGTGATAGCACAGACTCTTGGTTGGGTTCAGGTGTTGAGTCAGCTATATGGAAACGGGAATATTAGTAAATTATAAAAACAACTGTTTGTAAAGTGCTTTATAGTTTATAATGTGTGCTTCCATGTATGTTTTGATCTTTACAATAGCTCTTTCCAGGTAGGTTGGGCTTTCTTACCCAGATTTTATAGATAAGAAAACCAAAGCAGAGATTTTTAATTGAATTTCCCAGTGTCACATAGATAGTAGTTTTCTTTCTTATTTGTCAGAATAGCTTATGGTTCACAATTTATCTTTTTTGTATTTTAAATATAAAGAAATAATGTCGTGGTAATTAAGCCCTTTATCTGATTTTTTAAATGCTAAGTCAGTGGCTCCTTAAAATTTTTCCCCTTCAATTTTCTAAAGTTCTGTTGAAAAGCCACAGTATGGGCATATTCAGATGATTCACGGAAACAAAGTGGGAATAGGGAATATCAAAGGAGATGTTTAAGTTTACAGATGTGACTTAAACAATTAGAGATTTAAATTCAGAGTGGCAGCCTTTTAATTTAGAGGATAAATTTAAATGACAGGGAATATTTTTTTTTCCAAAGTATTTTCCTCTCAAGAATTTTTTATTTCCTTTTTTATAACCAGTTCTCTACTTTATCCCTGGAATGGACTTTATTTTAGTCTGATTTTTTGTAAATGAACTTCTGGGGATTTTAGTTATTTTGATTGGGAGCCATAGACAATGGCAAATGCATTTTCTTTCATACTCATTTGGTTTGGTGGCAAAGAAATGATGGATACTTTTCTTCCCTTGGGGAGAGTTAGAATGGAAGACATAGTGAGGATGTTCAAGTTTTTTCTTCCAATCTGGAAAAAAAAAAAAGATGGCAACGACTAGTAAGCAATAGCTTTTACATTGTGATCCATTGTGTGCACTCAGGCACACACACACACACATCTGTGTGAATATAACTTAGAATTAGTCTTACCAAGTAATACTTTTTTTAAAAAATATATCTTCTTGTTTTTGTTTTTTTAATTGACTTCAGAGAGAGGAAGGGAGGGAGAGAGAGAGAGAGACAGAGAGAGAGGGAGAGAGAACATCAATGATGAGAGAATCATCATTGATCAGCTGCGTCCTGCACGCCCCCTGCTGGGGATCGAGCCCACAACCCGGGCATGTGCCCTGACTGGGAATTGAACATCGGTCTCCTGGATCCTAGGTCGATGCTCAGCTGCTGAGCCACATGTGGCTGGGCGGTAATACTTATTCTTACTATGTTCTAAGCACTGTGATATTTTCCATTCTGTTTTATTCCATTAAAAAAATTGTTGATGTGACCAACAATTGATTGACCAAAGTTGATTTCCTTCCCGGACCCACTAATAAATTGCAGTGTGTAGTTTTGCAAACAAAATTCTCATAATTGTTGTCCTTAAAATTGTACCCGTGAAGAAACCTCGTGCCCTTGTCCTGTTCCTCATCCCCTCACCCCAGCTCTAGGAACCATTAATCTTTCTGTCTCTGGATTTGCTTATTCTAGATACTTCATATAACTGGAATCATACAATAGCTGGTCTTTTGTGACTGGCTTCTTTCACTTGACATAGCGTTTTCAAGGTTCATCATGTAGTAGCATGAGTCAGTACTTCATTCCTTTTCTGTGGGCAGAATATTACCCCATCATATGGGTTGGTATAGGAGCACTCTAGGGGAGCCGACTGCCTACCTCTGTAATTCCTGCTCCTGCAGCTCTTACAATTGGCTTCAGCCTCATAGGCCATTCTTTTCATTCTTGAACTCATCAAGCTTGATCCCAGCTGTAGGCCTGTGGAATCACTGTCTCCTCCACCTTCAGATCTGCAGTGTCCTTTGCCCAGATCCTTACCTCCTCCTCATCCAGGTCACAGATACAAAGTTTACCCCTGAGAGAAGCTTCTCTGACTGCACTAGTCTAAAGTTGTCTACATACATTACTAACTCTTCAGCCTCATTTTCCTCAAATTTCTAATCATTATCTGAAATTATCTAGTGCGGGTACTTTATTGTCTGTCTCTCCCACTAAAATAGAAGTCTGTGCAAGCTGTGACTTTGCTTAGAGCAGAGCCTGGCATTTAGAAAAAGATCAATCAATATTTGTTGAATGAATAAATTGAGTAGTGTCCTCAATGTAATGCTAAGCCTTTAAAGGTTTTAAGGAAGGAAGTGACATGATCTATTTTACATTAAAAAAGCAAAGCATTCTGGTTGCTGTGAAGAATGAATTTTAGGAAGGCCCCCCCACCAAATGCAACCTTAAACTGTCTAGGCAGTACATTTATCATTTTCTGTGTTTAATATTGATTCCAGCTAGAACTTATTTGTTGAGTGAGAAATTTTATTTTACCCCGCTGTCCCAGGTGGAGACTGGATTAAAATGACTGGTTTAGAAGCAAAATGTTTCATGCCCCTTTTGTACTTCACATTCTATAATAATTTTCTTACTGGTTCCCTATTTAACTAAAAACACTTTTGCTTTGCTTTTCAATTACAGAAAGTATGAACCCACTTTCTTTTCTTTCTACTTAGTTGTCTGGAACCCCACTTTCAATCTTTATGCAAAGGTGTATTCAAATAATTGCTTCTCTTCAGTATCTGACATCAATGGGTTGAGGTTCTTCTGAGGTGTTGCCTTGTGCCCTCTAGTGGATGAAGGGCTGGTAAATGTATCGAGTGTTCTCGAACGCTTTTCTCAAACCATGAAATCAGCTCAGGCTTACGATTGCCTTCTGCAGATAGTTTATAAGCTTTTCCCTCCTGGGAAAGACCATTTTATTTCTTCTGCTGCTTGCTGCTGTGTATTTAAATAACAAGCTTATTTTGCTATTTCTTGATTTATCAACTTTAGACACTACTCTACCCTTTTGCTTCCTGCTGTTGAAGATGAGAAATTAAGGTTTACGGAAACACTCTCCTTTCAAATAAGGCCTCCCCTTTTTCTTTTTGTTAAATTAGGGTTCATTATTGATTTATGATTGCATGATAATTATTATGACTATGTAAATATTTTTTATAGTTGAACCATAAAATATTATGATTACATTCCCTTATATACTTTTTTGTTTCTCCCAGAGTTACTAAATAGATACATAAATATATAGGAATAAATATATATTTAGTAATTACTTTTTTAAATGGCACTATATGAATTCCATACCATAAAGTTCACTCATTGTAAGTATATTTATTCAGTGATTTTATTAAATTTAGAGTTGTGCCACCATTACTACAGTCCAGTTTTCAAACATTTCCATTAT